TTCTCTTATTAAACTGTTTAAAACAGTGTAGGCAAATTCTACCCAGAAGAGGAGTTGGTGGCTTGTTATAACGTCCTGTTTCTGTGGCAAGAGGTAAAGATCCACATCAGAACAAAGCTAAAATTCGACGGAGGTCCCTGTATTTTACATGTTATGCATACGATCCAACAACATTTTGCCTGGAAGTTCTAAGCTTATTGCTGTTTACATTATTTCGAATGTCCCACAAATGTCTGCCCCATCTTTCATTATCGTCTTTAATGAGAAAACATCTGATATTTTCAAGTTTTTATTTCATGGTTGGGGCGCACTTAAATGTCATTAAAATCATTATTACAGACAAGTTCTACAATTCTATTTCTCCACGATCTTTTATATTTTTGGACAATTTGAATATTTTCTTTCTCAAATTGTCACGGGTATTAATGTCTGTAGAGTCTAAAAACGTGTGTATGTTGTTTAACAACTGGTAAAATATAACCCATGTCTCCGTTCGAAGATACGTAAGAAGCTTGCTTAGTGGTGCCAAGGATATATTTTGCAAGCTTTGTTTTGTAAAATATGTATTTATACCCCGAATTCCCGAACCCCTATTTTCTAATCGATTTCGAACATCCTGCATATGTAACGGGTCGTACTGTTTTCAAAGCAATATTTTATCATTCTTTAAAGTAAAGCAACGGAACTGGAGGTTTTTAATACCTTTGCTGGTATATCATCTATTGCAGTAAATTTATCATTCCTTAACCGGAGCACTGCTCTGTCAGTTTCAGTTCCAGAAATAGGTTTATTTAACATACAAGTGTCCAGACTATTTGCTGGTGAAAACCACTTGTACAGTCAGTGAGTGCAACCAATAAAAAGTGCTTCATATGTATATTCCATTTTAATAACACATACTCATGGTCATAGCAATCTGTCGGCATCAACAGCTTCTTGTGGAATTTGACGTTGCCTCTCAGTTGCGAGTCCAAATAGCCCAATTTGTTTCCAAAAATTATTTTCCTTTAAGCTCAAAATGTAGAACAGTAAGTTTATTTTGCTGATTCGATGCATGGTTACGTTTGTGTGACGATTTAAACGATCCATGATTTACTATGTGATCCCATCGGTCTCCTTTTCTCTGCAAGGTTTCCTTTTACCTTAACCACTGTTTTTCACATAGGCAAACAACATTCGCGATTGCATATGAACAGCTGTGAAATGTACAGTGCTTTAATATTGATGGACATGAAGAGAAAGTTGACCATTGGAAGTCAAAGTAGAAGTCATCCCTCTTGTCATATAGTCTTGTGTGGAGTGTTTTGTCACTCTGCATCTTTATGCACAGATCTAAATATGAAACAGATGAGGCGATTGTACTGGTCTCCTTCATTTCTGGTTCAGTTGGGTAAATCAGTGGAAGGGAGTTGGCTATTTGATGGTTATTGAATGATATCAGAACATCGATATACCAGAAGCTTAAGCTACACTTCCTGGGTAAATTAATTTGTTTTGACTTTGACAAAACGAGAAGAAATTCTGATTCATATGCATAAAGAAACAGATCCGCTAGAAAGGGAGCACAACTGGTGTCAATTGGGATGCCTACTTCTTAACTAAATGTCTCTCCTCCAAATTTCACGTAGATGTTATCAACGAGAAAGTCCAGCATTTTGCATATTGTTTTCTCAGGAAACTTCAGATGGAATTTGCTTTCATTTTTTACAAATTGTTTTGAACATCTGAATATAGATACGAAACTGTATCTGTGGTCACCACGTTTTGCCACTTAAACCACATGGATGAAGGAATGAGGTTTTCCGTAAGTTTGCCATGTGGGAAAGTGGTGTACAAAGTTGAAAAATCAAATGATTTGACAGAATGGAGCTTGCGGCGTTGGACGAACGACCCACCAAGTGTAAACAGAATGTTTTCGTACACGAAAAAGGTTTGCTTGAACAAATAGAGTGAGTGAGTATGTTGAACCGCCACCTTGAACAGTATTTCAGCTTCATCATGATGGCGTGTCAGATTGATGTGAAAGGAAAGACACTCGTGATGCTTTTGTATGGTAAACAGTTCCAAATTTGACCCATAAGTGGCCAAAATGATGTCAGGTGCAATTCCTTATTTTGACCCTACCTTAACAACCAGGCGAACACTTGACTTTCCACTCCATGTGTTTTGGATGAGTACTGCCATTGGGGCAAAATACTCTCACCTATTTCATAGTGCTGCATTGACTTGATTTAAACATATTTTATTCAGATTGAAATGGATTGGGAACAAGTTATCCAACTTAGGACTCCCTCTCCATGGAGAGGCATTGACTTGCTAAAGAAGTAGTCCCAATCGTAGAAAGTTTCCCTGTGAATATGGACTGGGTTTGTTGCTTAACATAATCTAAGCTTTCTTTACATAATCGACACATTTGCGACATTATTGCATCAGGGGCACGGGTGGCCCAGTCGGTCTAAGGTGCGCTGTGCAGATTAGCGGCCCTTGGGCATGCTAGGAACCTATGATTGAGGGTTAGAATCCCGATTGGCGCCGATTTTGTTTCTAAGTTTGTCAGCACCATACCTGTGCGCGTTGGTTTCACCAAAGTGGTAAACGTCTGAGACCTGCATCACTCGGCAATTCCTCCCACACGTCGTGATTTAACTGGAATATGTAAAAAGCAGGGTTAAACCCAACTCACTCACTCACTCTTAGATTGAAACAGTATTAGGATGTTTGTGTATACTGCACCTACATCTCCGTGTCTCACGGCACAAAATGTCATTCTATCAGATGTATTTACTGACCTTAAAATTTTCATCTTCACCCTCTTTTCATAAATTCAGTATACTCATGTCAACGAAAAAATGAACCACTATAAAAACAGATGTACATTGTATATAACGCATTATTAGTTAGAAAAGTTTTAACTGAATACAACATGTATGGCGCATGTTATTGTGACGGGAGCTACCGGTGGGGCAGGATACGTGTGCGTTTTCGCAAACACATTGTATCATCATCGTGATTCATAAGCACATACTCCTGACATAGTTGGAATCGTACACGTGAATCTGCATTTGGCATTCGACACATTTTATTTTCACAAGAAAAGCAGAGGAAAACAAACTAAAGCATCTTACTATTATGAATCTGTGCAGAACACAGTGGCAGTTGTCTAAGTAAACAGTACACCAGATGCATAACGAACGTTAGACAGTTCGGGAACATTGCGGCTGAAATATGTCCACTTACCTAACATATTACAAAGTCATAAAACTTAATTACATCAAACGGATGTTAGTGATATCGTTCCCTTAAGCTTATTGTTTTGAAGATAAGAACGGCATGTTGCGGTCATGACCTCTATTGCCATGCCAACACTCCTGATCTTGCCCCTCACATATCAGTGTATCACTGGTACAGCACCTATATATAGACCAGATAAACATCTCACAAGATCTCTCTGGTTAGAGAAGGCAGGTGTCCCTTATGTAAAATTTAACATATCGGATTTCACTTATTTGGAGCGACAGTAAGACACTTTTACGAACAATAGAGTCCCTGTCACAGTTCCACACAGCTGAACACAGTTAAAGACATATCTTGTCCGACTTTTCTTTCCCAACCTAAAGATCTCTCCGAACCACGTTTGTCAATAAAAAAAAATGGAAGAAACAGTGAGTAAGTGAATGAGTGAGTTGGGTATATAACGACAGAATTCTAGTTATATCACGACATGTCAGCTTAATGTGAGAGGAAAGCCTGAATGGATGCAGGTCTTAAGACATTTATCACTTTTGGTGAAAACTACGAGCAAGTGTATGGTGCTAACAAACGTAAAAACATAACCTGGACGAACGGGGATGCGAACCCACCTTCACTTTCCCGGTTTTTCCTTCTGCATCACTCAGTTCAAGGCGGCCCGTAGAAACATTAGTCTAGGCCATGTAAGCCACATTTTTCTCCAGTTATCAGACGTTTCTCAGTTTGGTCAAATCCACAAGCACTGGTATGGCGCTAACAAACCCACAAGCATAATCTTGGCGAACCGGGTATCGAACTCACTATGGTAGGTTCTGTAGGCGTGTCCACGGTACCTTACTCTGTATTGCGAATTGTTGCGCATTAGACGACGAATCAGCCACCCGTTCCTCCGGGAAGAAAACGAGTAGTGCAAATGGTCAAGTTGATATAATCAAATTTCCCTTATGTTCACTGTAATTCCTGCATTCTGAACTGGTCACTTGTTATTGTATTCATGTCCCAATGAAACAGACGCCTTCTCCCTGACATATTTGTTCCGGTTCGTAACAGTTCTTCTCGCTTCTGCCTTAATTGACAGGTCGCATGAACTTTGTTTAATGTTACTAGTACTCCACTGACTGGCTACTGACATTGTGGGCGTGTCAAGTTATGTGCATAAATTAAACAATCACCTGATTCATGTCTTGCCTCAGAAAATATCTCTGCACCTGGAATGTTTATCAATCTCATATTTTTTCTCTGCGTTGATTCATATAATTGCTTTTGATTAAACACTTGTAGATAACACGTGTTTTCGTTGTAGAATGTAGTTGGTAGGATTGATTGTGTGTTTGCTTGGTTCATTGAAGTATGAATCTCAAAACCAATGTGAAAGATTTTGCACAGTCAAATCTTTAAAAAATTACCTGAATACATGATTGTGGGTGTGTGAGTGCGTGGGTGAGTTTTGGTGATTGGCGAGTTCGGACAGGTGAGTGAGTGTGTGAATACAGTTTGAGATAGTGAGCGAATAGGGTCTTGGTAAGTGAGTAAGTGTCTCAGTACATTGCAGTATTTCAGTACAGTATTTCAGTTATATCACAACAAAGCAACTTGACTAGGATTAAATCCCATAGGGGTGCACAACTGAGACATGGAGATTGTGCTGGCACACACAGATATATGATGAGGCCGAATAAATATACAATGCACCTGTCCACAATGCATTAGCTTGCATTACACAGATCAGAGTCACGAGATGGTTCCGCTACAATAACTAGACCAGTTGCTCGACTGCCTGTGAATAGGAGGGGGGGACTTGATCTGCTCACATTGCTTTGTTACCTAATGTTTACGTCAGTGTTTTCTGCAGGGTCGAGATGTGCCTTGCAACAGTGTACTGCACAGAACGTCGGAGGGTTGGACAGATTACACTGCCTGGACTTTTGATCCTGTCATGATGGCGAGGGAAACTTAACAAGTAAGTGTATGTTCGGCTAATAACTACGTTCCTTTCCGTGGTGATTACACATTCGCCTTTATGACTGCATCTAATACAGAAGCCACGTACTTTCAATTGCAAGAAACTATTTGAGTCGTCTTTCAGTATAAAACATCTAACACAGAATAATCTGGATTATGTACACATTCATGGGAAGATCTTGAGGAGTTCGTAGCAAGCGGATGGTATGAAATAGCTGTGATTTCTGTTGTTTGATGGCTTGTAGTGGCGAATCTGGACTGCTACCAGTTTATTCGATCAACCATTGTATGTAATCCTAGGTGGTTGAAAATTCAATATGTGTACACCTGCTGCACATGCGTTGACGACTGTGCGGGAGACGGCTACCTTACATAAGATACAACTATATCAAGTTAGTGGTGGAGTGCGGTGCGGTGATTTGGGGTTAAACGATGCGTTGAACATTGTTGTACTTATAAAACTACGTGTTTTTTGGTGTTTTTGGGGTTGTTTTTGTGCGTGCGTGCGTGCGTGCGTGCGTGCGTGCGTGCGTGCGTGTGTGTGTGTGTGTGCGTGCGTGTGTGTGTGTGTGAATGTGCGTGCGTGCGTGCGAGTGTGTGTGTGTGTGTGTGTGTGTGTGTGTGTGTGTGTGTGTGTGTGTGTGTGTGTGTGTGTGTGTGTGTGTGTGTGTGTGTGTGTGTGTGTGTGTGTGTGTGTGTGTGTGTCTGATTGTACTTGTCCCGACTAATTCTGATTGTATCGTGCTGGTACACGGAGATACCGTGCTGCAGTGTAACGCGAATACCCTACTTAGACACAGTAGACTGACCAGTCCTTAGCTTGTTTTGGCCCCAGGGTAGCAACCAGTACCATCTTTTAATGTATTTTGGTATGTCACAGCCGGGCTAGTGTGGAGTAAGGGACCAGCTCTCCGTGACACTGTCTCTCTAGATACACACCGGTCTCACTTCTTCCAATTCTCTGCAGTGTAGTGTGGAGTGGGGGACCAGCTCGCCGTGCCACTGTCTCTCTAATTACCTCTTTAGGTTCTTCTCCAGGCATTTCCGGGATCCCGTGAAAGAGAAGATTATCTCTCATAGAGCGTGTTTTCAGGTCAATGACAGATTCTTTCAGGTCTCGCTGTTCCTGGTATATGGAGTCTATGTCATAAAACACGTCTTCTACATCTCTCGACAACCTGTCCCGATCATCGGTACTCTGTTCTGTAAGCTCCCGTACCTGTTGTTTCAGCTTTTTGTTTTCTGATGCAGTCTCTCTCACACAGGCTTCAAGCTTATCAACGCGAAGTGTTGTCTCTATCATTGTAATGTCGAGAGATGTCAGCTTATTGCCAATCATAGTAAATTTACTGTCAATGCTATCAACACATTGCATCCTCTGGTTTATAGAATTAACCATGGTAGTCAAGTGCCTCATTTGATCAAATAAGGTTTTAATCCATTCTGCGTTGTCTACGTAAGGTATGTAGGTTATATACAGGTGCAGTGTACCAGTGTAAAGTGTTGCTGTAGAGTAACATGAGTTACCTCCCATGTGTAAGGTATGTAGGTTATATACAGTGGCAGTGTAACAGTTTAGTGTGTTGCTGTAGAGTTACATGAGTTACCTCCCCTGTGTAAGGTATGTAGGTTATATACAGGTGCAATGTAACAGTGTAGTGTGTTGCTGTAGAATGATAGCAGTTACCTCCCCTACGTAAGGTATGTAGGTTATATACAGTGACAGTGTAACAGTGTAGTGTGTTGCTAGAGTGACATGAGTTACCTCCCCTGTGTAAGGTATGTAGGTTGTATCCAATGGCAGTGTAAGTGTAGTGTGTTGCTGTAGAGTGACAAGAGTTACCTCCCCTGTTTAAGGTATGTAGGTTGTATACAATGGCAGTGTAAGTGTAGTGTGTTGCTGTAGAGTGACAAGAGTTACCTCCTCTGTTTAAGGTATGTAGGTTATATAACGTGGCAGTGTAACAGTGTAGAGTGTTGCTGTAGAGTTACAAGAGTTACCTCCCCTTTTTAAGGTATGTAGGTTATATACAGTGTGGCACCAGTCAGGTGCCTTTATATCCAAGTGATGTGTTGTTGTAAAGTGACTGGACTTACCTCCCTTGTGTAAGAATGAAGGTTATATACACTGGCAGTATAACAGTCTAGTGTGTTTTTGTAGAGTGACACCACCATCGTTGGATCCAGAACTGTCTCCTCAAGAATCCCAGATTTTAGTTCAATTTTTACTGCTGAGTCCAAAGCTATCGTAACAGCTTTGACCGATATTAAACAACAAAACCAATCTAAAAATTTCATCATCTTCTCTGATTCGTTATCTTGCCTTCAGGCACTTAAAAGTGTCTCACCATATCACCCTATTATCCTTGACATTTTAGAACTCTATAATGATCTTTCCACTGGCCAATGTGACATCGTCTTTTGCTGGTTACCAAGACATGTAGGCATAACTGGTAACTCAAAAGCCGATGCTGCAGCTAAAGCAGCTCTTGACAAACCGTTATCTCCACTTCGTATCCTGTACAGTGATTTCAAACCTACCATCAAATCTTATACTCGGGATCTTATGCAAAAGAGGTGGGACACCCAAGTAGGAAGCAATAAACTCCACGAATTGAAACCAACAATCGGTCATAACTACTTGGGTTGTCAGTCAAGACATGACGAGGTCGTTTTACGACGGTGTCGTATTGGCCACAGTCGGTTTACACACGAATATCTGCTTAAGACAGATGAGGACGAACCTCCTAAGTGTATCCCTTGTGATGCAAGGTTCACCGTCAAGTATATATTGCTTGACTGTGTGGACTTTGCAATCGCAAGGGATTCACTTTGTCAAAGTGTAAATCTAAAAGATCTCTTTTCCCGTATCAGCGGGCATCTCATCATAAATTACTTGAAAGAAATTGGTCTGTATAATAAATTTTAAATATGTATGTGAATAATTAAATGCTTGTTTTTAAATTTGATGTGATGCTATAAACAACTGACATTATTAAAGGCTCTGTCCAGGAGGTTAACGTAGCGTAAAAATATTGTCCCCCTTTGTGACACGTAATCCTATAGTAATTGATGTAACTATCATCAACCAGTGTTTTAAGCCAACTCATTGATGAGTATTTTTTAATATTGGCTAGTATTGTGCACAACCACCAGTGGCTAAAGTGATGACGTAAATCCTGCTAGGGTATCATGCAGGAAGCAGAAGTACTGTAAGTCCCCATGATCCCCAGTGAGGTGGCCTAGCTTTGGTTACTGGTGGCCTATAGCCTGTTTTTAAAACTGTATTAATGATATTGTAATGTTCATATGTTTCATCAATTGTTTTTAAATATAGTATGCTCCAATGTGTTTCATTAATTGTTTTTAAATATGTCATTGCATAAATAACTTAATTGTATATATAATTTCTATTTCATTTTAACTATCCTGCAATTAGTATTGTAAAAATGTATGGGGACCTTTGTGTGATTTTGCCTGTCTGTGTGTCTCAAACCAATCTGATCAAAGAAACAAAAAGGTAAATTCATCTGGAAAAGCCATCACTATGATGGCTGTCACAAAGACATGAACAGAAGTATAAACGTACTGCTGATTGTAATTACCATTGCTTTTTAAGAAGGAACTACTGATTGACTGGGCACTGCTGAATGTATGTACATAAAGCACATGTATATGTGTGTGTGTATCTGTGTGCGTGCGTGCGTGTGTGAGTCTTAGCGTGTGTGTGTAGGGGGGTGCGTGTATGCGTGTGTGCGTATGAGTGTGCATGTGCACTAGTGGATTAATTGGGCTCAACTTTGATGGCAAAACACAGCAAATTTTTGGCTTTGCAATACTTTGCATAAAACATGGACACGGGTGACGTGAACATGAAATCAAGATGGAAATGGCATGTTCGCACCAACAGCTTGGGCAACAAATGATGATCGCTACCCTGGCCTTACATATAAATGCTTTTCTTTAGTGGTCATGACTCACCATCTTACTCAGAAACAGCAACTGCTCCAAGACCTCCTTGGTTTAAGCAGAGCTGTTGGCATCAAGAAGAGTGTGTCGATAATGAAACGCATGGCAGCAAACTTGAATCCACCAAAGGATTTAAGTCTCATTCATCCCGGAAGCATCTGGTCCAAAACTTGTCTGAGGAAAACCTTTGTGCAATTATATTTAACCTGTAGAATTGCTCTTTGTAATTTAACATACTCTTCACAAAAAGAAACGCAAAGCCAGATTTGTGTGAGGTAGGAAAATACATTGATAACCATACACGGTATTGAGCCAAAAGGTTGTGGAGAGAACACTTGGTGATTGTAGTCATCTCAGTTATCAGTACATAGGAAAAGTCCAAGCTGAAAGTCAGCTACCATCAATAACTGCGTATGTCCTACATTGGAATCGATAGCACCCTGACATATCCTGCCCATGGAAGAGACGAGAATTCATCCCACAGGTGCCCTATTGGGTTCAAATCCGGGGATCTGTAGGGCCGGGGAGAACATCTACGTTGTTGTTGTGTAGTCAGGCTCTTGTGATCCGGGCTGTATGCGGTCGAACATTTTCCTCCTGGAATACACCGTTGGCTGCACTTGGGAGGACATATACCAGGAGAATTCCGTTGATGTATTGTTGAGCAGTAAGATTGCCCTGGATATGAACCAATACCTTGATGAGAGATTTTCGCCCACATCATAACGCTACCCACACCAAACCGGTGCACTTCCTGTATGCAGTTTCTGGCGTAACGTTCTCCTTGACGTCTGTAGACACGTGCTCTTCCATCCCCTCTGCGGAGGAGAAATCTTGATGTCGCTGAATCAGACATCTCTCCATCGCAGTTGAGGCCATAGCCTGTGTTGACGACACCAATTGTTGACGATGTTGTCGACTCAATATGACGCGTCCAACAGGACGCCTTGCTCGTAGACCTGTTGCTCTTCAAATGTTTTGTACTGTCTGGTCTGAGACTCTGCGTAGTTTGGGTATTTGGAATGTGGTTGAGGTGGCTATGATCGTCCTTTCACGAAGGTGGCACATTCGGATGTAGCGATGTTGGGCGGGGCTGGATACTCTTGGGCGTCCCGACATTGGCCGATCACGTGTTGACCAATGCTGTTGAAACCGATACCATAGCCTTGTGAAGGTGCTGGGCCCTACATTGAAAACCCTGGTTACAGCTGATCGCTTCCCCCCTGCCTGCAAGCGGCCTATGACATTGTTTATTTGCACTTTTGTTAATCTTGGCATGTTGTTGCACTGTCACTGTTTGATTGACGCAGATGCCAGGCAATCAAAACCCCTGCACATTAATACCGCTCATGGTGCTGCTGTACATGTAGTACGTGCAGCTCCCTGCATTTTTTGCCAACTGGGTGCGTTTTTCCTAATCGTATGAGTTTCCCGACTTATGGTTTGCATGTCCTTCTTGCAATCATTTAGTTCCAGGAATTTGTCACTATAACACATTAAACCTCTTCATTTTGCACCTCTTGATCCGCTTATTTTGCTTTTATTGCCACAAATATCCGTTTTGCGTTTCTTGTTTTGAAGAGTATAGTTTTCATACGCTATTCGTACCCTATTCATTTGCATGTCTTGACTTGAACCACGGAAGTATTAATACTAAAATCATTTTATGATACTGGTGAATATATACTTGTATCTGGCTCGTCAGATACCAAACATATACACTCGCTTTTGCAAGTCAGATCTATGTCACTTTGGGCCTTCTAGTCAGTATATTACTAAAATTAGCCAAACTCACTCACCCGGTAAATAAGAAAAATAACTAACTGTGGAGATATTGTGAATTTGTCAGATACATTACATTTCGGGAAAAGCGTTAAACGAATAACAAGTAGTGTGGATGTAATATTCTTACTTGTGTTAACATGCTGTTTTGTTTATGTGACTGAGCATTTGTTTTATATTTTTCAGGAAAGCAGGAAAAGCAGGCAAATCAGGAGTTATGACGTCCACGACTGAAGGTGAACAGTTTCTTGAATTTGATCATTTGCATATTGTTAACAAATGTATTGGTCAAATAACATTAGTTTACTGCTTTCTGTTTTCATCTTACGCCAACAAATCTTTGAGAGGCATCTAGAAGTTGGAATACTAAGTAAGGAAAATATTTATGGATGTACAACTTCTTTATTACAATTAGGAGCGACATTTTGGTTTAGGTTCTAACACTGTTATCAAACAAGTGATGTACACAGTATGGTTGACAAATATATATACAGGTAGGAGGCAGTGTTTTTACAGTAGAGTAGATATCAGATGTAGTTACGCTGCAGTTGAGAAGTCACACAAAAGGGTTGTAAACATGTTGCACGTCGCTATATAAGTGCAATAATCTTGTGCGACGTTAAACCCTATTTCACCTCACCTATAAACATGTTGACCGGCGAAGTCAGCAATGTAAACAAAAGGGTGAAGCCAGTATATATACTTGTCAACCATACTCTGTCAACCATAAATCTTTTCTTCACTTAAGCCGACATGCACACTCATAAAAAGATGTGGATGGAGATAGGTACTGCCTCTTGCTGTTGTATTCACACACAAAAATATTGTTTGACAAGAGGGATGACTTCAACTTTCCAATAGTCAATTTCCTCATATGTCGAGGAACATTCCATCAGATCCAGCCTTTTAAGGTACACTGAAAAACTCTTTCTACCAAGATTTCAAAGGTTACAACATTCAAGGCAACAACAAAGCTTTCAAAACGTTTATGGTAGATATGTTAGGACATTTCCAAACTTGACGCATCCGTGACAAAAGGTGTGTCTGATGCAATGCGTTTTTTCTTATTTCAAGGGAACAGTTCACTTGTCTTTGCATGTGTTTGTGATGACTGCCACCGGTGCAGCAGGATACGGTCACCTTCTCGCGAACACCCGGTATCATCACTGTTTGACTGTCATAAACGCATGCTCATGAAATAGTCAGACTGATTCAGTCGACTCTGTTTTTAGCAGAGACTTCTTATGAATATTGAAAGGGTTGTGTTGCATTCATTTAATGAATAACGTGCATTTTGTTTTTGTTGTTGAAGATGGCGCCTTCCCAGTCCATGTCCCGGCAGATAAACGTGAGCTACTTTCAGTTGACCTTTTACGTTTCTCAGGCCTGTCCTTGATGGAAGGATGTTTACTAACACTGTGTTCAGTATAATATACAACTTCAACGTAACAGAATAATCAGTCTCTTTATCCACAGAACAGGTTTCATTAAAACCTCATTTGCAATTATGTATAATATATGAATAAAGGAACTGATACCCCATAGTTCAAAATGTGTGACTGGTTGTCTCACAATAAATACCCTTTAAAGACGTAGGGGATACCAGGAAATTTTGAAAGACGAAACGTTGACTCACGTGCCTTACAGACGGGACAGCAAAGGGTGTCAGCATGTTGCCCCGATAGTATTGTTTGGTGGCCATTCCCTGCACAATAACTATTGTCAGTCGTAGTTATGCTTATGTTCACTTCGACATTGCCAGACACGACCACGCCTTTCAAGGAAGTTCAAAGTCAGTCGGGGCTCGGCTCGTCAAAAACATGGCACATGGCCAGCGATGATTACCTATGTTGCGACGGTGTGTACACCAATGACGTCTGTCAGCACTATAACGATGTGTAATACCTCCATTCCGCTGAGCGACGCTCTTCTGTGCTCTACGCGCTCTGAGGGAGCGCCATAGGTCTCCTCATTTTTCAGCTATCTAGGGGCACTTACGATCTGATTTCGATCAGATAGCGCTCCTGTTGCGATCCAATAGGGATCTATGCGATCCGATAGCGACTTGAAGACCCTTGATCGTAACCAAACAACCCAAAATGTGGCGATCTTGCACGATCAGTTTGTGCTCCTTTTGCCATCCATAGTGATCAGGATGTGATCAAATCGCACTCTATTTGGGGTCCGATGCCGATGATTCGACCTATGGAGATCCATTAGCACTCAATTAGCACTTTATTGGATCCTAAAGCGACCCGATCCCCGAAATTTGGGTCCAATCCTATAAAAACTTCTGAGCGTTCTGAGACGGTCATCATTTCAAAGCTTGGTAGCAGAGGGGTAGGTCCTAGCCTTTCGTAGCGATCGGCGGCACTCTAAGGTGATACGATAGTGCTCTAATTTTGTCCTTAGCGATCAAGTAGCACTCTGATTACGACCTTTGTGATTAAGTAGCACTCTGATTACGACCTTGGTGATCAAGTAGCGCTCTGATTACGACCTTGGTGATTAAGTAGCACTCTGATTACGACCTTGGCGATCAATTAGTGCTCCGATGGCGATCTAGGCGATCAAGTAGCGATCTGACGGCATTCTGGTCAGAGCGACACGGATCTTTGTGCAGGGAAGTCGACAGGCGGCGACCTTGACCATCATGGAGATCAGTTAGAGATCAGATAGCGATCCATCGACACTTTTGGAGATCTAAGCGCTCTGTATGGCGATCTATGGCGATTTGTAAGAGCGCCACAGAGTGACACTTTATGGAATTAAGTTAAGGATAAAACACTCCTCCTCGGTTTTGGTTGAAAATGTAAAACCGTGAGCAAGGCCGTAGCCCCGAAGGCTTTTCCCGAGCTTGAGGTTTATATTTTAAAGAAAAGCCAAGGTGGAGTGTTTTATCCAACTTATAATCCGTCTGTATGCAAGAAATATCAGGACCAATAAGAAAACATCAGGATATCTTATGGTGAAATAATACAGTGTGTCAATTCAAAGAAGTCAAGGCAAATAAAATTGAACACACTTTCATCACATGCATCGGTGGCTCAGAGGGGAAAGCTGTGGGTTACAATACTTAAGACAATATATGAGCTTGCAGGTTCGATTCACGTCGTGGAATTTTCGTGTGAAACATTGTATTCATATCCAAAAGGCAAGTTTGCAAAACGTCAATTGTAAAACCTAGGTTTCACATGAAAGAAGTACCTCACACAAGGTTACAATGAGTGAGTGAGTGAGTTGGGTTTAACTCTGCTCTTAGCATTATTCCAGTTATATCATGGCCTGTTAGCTTAATGTGGGATGAAAGCTCGAAGTGATCCTGGTCTCACGTTTACCAGTTCGGTGAAACCCACAAACACGGGTATGATGCTGGCAAACCTAGAAACATAATCGGGGTGAACCGGGATTCGAACCCATAAACATAGGTTTCTGGCGTGCGCAAAGGACGCAACTCTGCACAGCAAATCGTGGCACCTTAGACGACTGGGCCACCCATTATTCACAGCAAGGAAAAACTCATGGCTTGCCACGGAAGTAGTATACCAGGCTCATTCAGGACCGGACCTAGCAAATCCCCATGTGACGTCACAGGTCATGGGTCAACCGGAAGTGACGTCATAACCGGAAGTGACGTAGCATGAGGATTATGGGTAATAATGAAGACAGGAAATGACGTCATAACCGGAAGTGTATTCTGGGAATGAAGATGGAAGTGACGTCATAGCATTTCCGATTTAGTGTGTCTGACGGTTTGGTGAGAATGAAGTGATAAAATGGCGTCTCGTGTAAGAAATGACGTGTGTTGGTCAGATGTGTTTGAGACGGGAAAATGGCGGACATGGGTATCGAGAAAGTCGTTTAGTAATAGAGACGGACGTCTTACATGTTAAAAAATAATGACAGTCTCGCTTCATAATGGACGGACATGTATGTTGTATACCCCTAATAATAGTTTGATCACAAAAAATGGGCTTCGAGAGAGTTTCGTAGAAATAGAGACAGATGTCGTACATGTTTAAAAAATGGCAGTCTCGACACATATAGTCGGACGTGTATATGCTAGTTTGATCATTGTGTATAAATTAACGAATGTATGTATAAAAATGGATGTATTTGTGTGGCTGTATTTGTGACGTTTATTAAATCGAACAATGTCTTTGCTAAATACATAATGTAATGGCGTGTTTCTCACATGCAAAATACATCGCATACAGGATAATCAAGACGAATCATCATGTTTTCAAGTTTTCTTTCGTTTTATTTGGTTGGTCCTTATAAGGACCTTTGAATGGAAGCGTATACCGGAGTTATACGTTTCTAAATACCATCTTCATATACGAGCAGTTAGGTGAATATCGCCTGTGTTCTGTGACGGGACTATCCGTACTTTTCCAACGATACAATTTAACACCGCAATGAAAGCACTGTACCCGATCGTTAGTTCCGGTGTAGAAGAATCCACTCATTGCCAGATCCAGGGGAGTTTGTTTCATCTGTGTAGGCCATCGAATAAATGTATCCAACCGATCTTGCATATACTTCATATTGGGTCTGGTAGGCATATCCAAAGAGTCATTGTCGAAAAATACATTGCAGTCACAGGAATCAAGGCCCGAGTCGTAATTGCTATCCGTATTAGACATCCTTTCAGCGCTGCAGTCAAACTAGGAATGAAGACTTTAGCCAAGACGTGGTAATAGAATACGTCAGCTACGTTTTAACCAATCAGCGATCAGCTAAGCTGCTGACGACACACTGTAGTCGGACCCTTGGAGCAGTTAATCCTTAATACTACTCAGGGATTAATGGCGAACGGTCATCCCGCTATCTAACGGTCAACAAATCGGACATGTTATCTTAACACTGGTGTGAAATACTCAGTATTCCAAGGGAGCATAATCCCGCATCGGCTGTCCGTCCCAGTATCTTATCGTCATCAGATTAAGATACCTGGAGTACATCCACGCTTTCAAAGTCTTAAGCCGATTAATAATCGCAATCCCACATCGGGTCCTTCCCAGCTTGCTTCTATACATTAAAGATACGCAAATCACATGCACGCTTTTAAACAAAGGTCCAGTATTTTAAGACGAGTAATACTCATAGTATACTGACCATACCGGACAGACACAAAAGATTATAAAATTAATCCGCAAAGAACTTGGTGTTCTGCTAATCAACAACCGCGATAATATACAACACGCTATCCAGTGGCGAATTCTTATCAACACTTTATGGGGAGTTTTACGTACATTCTCCGTGTGTTAACGACTGACGCAGCAAAGCAATGAAAACATAAAAATAGGTGTTCTGTTCATTCATTTTATTTCAAATTTAAATTGTAGTACGTCGTGCCATCTTAGCCATGTTCAAGTAATGAAACATGTTGTCACCCACACACCAACGTTGAGGTGTGGCACGGCCGATTTCAGTGTGGGAAAATGATTGTTTTGTCTTTCACACAGTCTATTTCAGTCCATCACAGTCTATCCTAGTCTATCACGGCGATGTCTTCCATCCGTATGGTAGGGTTTCACAGGGCAATCCATTGTCGTCGTACAGCACACGTCTCTTTGTGTACACCATCCTGTGTTTCTTGGCTGTGCTGACAGACAACAACTGGTTGCCCTGATGGAATCCTGTTCGTACGATGAGGTTAGGGTAGTCCACGCTTATTGACTCCTCCTGTCTGCCGCATATGAGTTCTTTCACAGTGTCAAAGTTGACTTGCTGGCTTGCACGGTAGTTCAGCGTGAACCCCCTAACCTTGCATACGGTCCTTGTCCCGACTTTAGTAGGTCGGACTAATTTGTAGGCATAGTTCTTTGGGCCACCTGACACGAACGTAGATATACTGTTGCCATCCAGCTCATCGGTCAGGTCGCCCAAAGTATCTCCTAAAGGTCGATTCCAGACGCTAGCCTTGTGGACGTAAATGATGGTATCCGTGTCAAAGTACAGCACCCTCCGCTCAAGTGGCATCAAGTAGCTGTGGACAAATTAGAAAGATGGCATGTAAATGCTCGTATAATTAATTCATATTGAAACCAAATTATTACAAAATTATAATCTATATAATAGCAAAATAGTCATTTTAATAAATGCAATAGCTTACCTGTACAATTTGAGACGGGCTTGTGCTGTAACCCAGGCAGCGATGACGACATTGGAGGCAGGATGCGAACTGTGGAAGTCTTTCCTTGGTTCAGTGGAGACGAACAGCATGTTTTCGTTGACAATGAGGACATCTTTGACTTCATGCCGCTCGTCTCTCAACATGCCAAAGAATAGATCTGGCTCTGTCACATAGCTCGCTTTTCCAAAACCTAGCCTTTGCCCAAATTT